GACATGAAAATGTTCTAAACCCTAAAAAATATAATTGCTCATTGAAAATGTGTTTTTGGTATTTTATGGAAAAAATTAGAAGTTGAACCTAATTTCTAACTATTTTTAAATTAAATAAAAAAGTTAAACTTTAATTAAATTAATTTGCAAAAATTAATTTTATTAAAAAAAACTCTAAATCCTAATTTTTATGATTTTCTGATTTTTATGATTTTATTGAAAAAATGAATGAATAGAAAATATAAACTAATTAACAAAAATTAAATAAAATAAAAGAAAGAAGATGGGTCTGAGGGTGACGAACCCAATTGAGGGGTGTGCTGGAATTTATGCTATGGGCCCAGATCTGTTGGCCCACAACCTGTGTTGGATCCAGTGTTGTTAGATCATGAGGGTTCACCATGGAGAAGCATTTCTGGGCGCTGGATCTGGAGGATGAGTGGCCCAATGGTGATGATGATAGAGCCCATGATGCGTGCCTAGGGATGTAACGTACTGGAATCTGCAGAAAATATCAAGAAAATAGAAAAGCGCTGGGCCTGGGATCGAACCCAGGTCTCTTCCTTAACGTACTCAATCTCTTGCCAACTGCGCTGCTTGTTAATTCATACATATAATAACATACTAATATTATATGTAAATTTTGGAAATTTAAGCTTCGAATCGAAAGCCGATCCCACACGAAAAGTGTTACTTAATTTAAATCCAGTCTTAGTTTTCGTTGGGCATGCCTGTATCATCTGGTTCGAATCATGACACTGATTTTACCCTAAACAATGGCAAAATCTTTGTTTCACCTCCAACCACTCATGTTTCACATTGGTCCTGCCTTAAACAATCTCCTGGGTATGAATCAGACTAAGAAAAGGATTAATACATCATAGAAATGTCAAAATAAATTCAAGAGGTTACCCATGATGAACTATTTCGATTTGCTGGTTCTGGGAAAATTTTCCCTTCAAAGATGGATGGACTGGCTTGCTGAGAATCCCAGGAATACAATTGGATTGCTGGAACTGGTTGAGATTGGCTGGAGCGTGAGATTTAGAATGGCACCACGCTTGAATGATTTTGTAATTTTGTTCTTGGTTTGGAGGCATCTTTCATTTTCAAGAAATGTTGCACTTTTCGTCTGGCCCTTTTTTGTGGCAGTTGCTTCCTACATTAGGTTTAGACTCATTATACTTATGTAGTGAATCTCATTAGGTTTATATTTGTGGCAAAAATCTAATGCATTGATGACAAGAATATGAATTTTTAATTTGTATCAAAACTTGTTGTTTCAGGAAAATCTCTTTCTCCTTTTGTCCCATGCGTTTTGCTTTGACATGCCAGCCTATTTCATTCCTTCAAATTTGCCTTCTTTGCCAGCTTCAAAGTCCAATTCGGATCTACTCAGAATTTTCCTTATTAGTATCCCTTCGACCAACCCTTGGTCTTGATGGTTCTCTTGAAAATTTGTACTGAAATTCCATTCGAAAGACCCTTTGCCATACCCATCGAAAGACCTTTGTCCAGATACCAATCGAAGGGTATTTGTTAAAATGCCAATCGAAGGACACTATTATAATTCCAATCGAAAGGTACTTGTTAAAATGCCAATCTAAAGGCCTTGTTAAAAGGCCAATTGAAGGACCTTTGTCCATGCCAATCGAAGGGCGCTGTGTAGATGCCAATCAAAAGACACTACTATAATGCCAATCGAAAGGTGTTTGTTAAAATGCCAATCAAAAGGCCTTGTTAACAGGCCAATCGAAGGACCTTTGTCCATGCCAATCGAAGGGCTCTATGTAGATGCCAATCAAAAGGAATTTTGGAGATGCCAATCGAAAGTCATTTTATAGATGCCAATCGAAAGGAATTTTGGAGATGCCAATCGAAAGGCATTTTGGAGATTCCAATCGAAGGAAACTTAAAAACATCACTCACAAATTTTCCTTTTCTTTAAGCAAAGGTTTGTGACCAACCATGTAGGGGAAGACCTTGGAAAACATGAGAGGGAAAATTTTGGGGTACAACATACATGCCGAGGGTATATCATCTCAAAATATGCACACAAAGACGAAATCAAGCAAACAAGCTAATAAGCTCAAGAGATCACACCTAGAGAGATTCTATCTAGGATAGCATGCCAAAGAAAGTCTAACAAAACTATCCTATGGGGAACATACAATGAGAGCGAAGTCGTGATCTCAATTTCTAAATTGAGTGACTCATCGATGAATAATTAATGAAAGCGATAAAATCCTATAGGGAGCATGCACTGAGAGCGACGTCGTGATCTCAATTTCTAAATTAAGTGACTCATTGATCAACAACCAAAGAAAGCGGTAAAATCCTATAGGGAGTATGCAATGAGAGCGAAGTCGTAATCTCAATTTCTAAATTGAGTGACTCATCGATCAACAACCAAGGAAACAAACACAAGCACAACACATATAGCAAATGAAGTGTGGAATGCCTGCTACAGGTCTTTAAACAACGACTTCGAGCGCACGCTCTCTATTTCCTACTTCTCATGATATTTAGAAAGCAGTAAAGTGCAAAATGAGATAAACAAGAGAAAATACCAAAGGGATATCAATCCGTAGCAAAGTGTATCAAAATAAAGAAACCTAGAAAACTTCGAGTAAGCTTCGACAAGCAAAGAAAAGAGTCAGAAATCAAATTCTCTGAATAAGTGTCGAAATGTCATCGATGTGAAAATAAATCACAATCGGAAACTCAAGCATATTTGCATATCACACGGTAAACCGACATAAAACTCAAATCTCAACAAGCAAAGGTGAACTACCAATCTCAAGTAATCGGATACTCGGAATTTAATTCCTAAAAAAAACAACTAAAAAAAATCTAACATCTTCTTTATTAGTGTTTTTTATTTCATCAATATTTCTTATCAACAAAAATATTATCTAACAAATATAAAAAAAAAATTAAGAATAAATAGAAAAGGCTACACAGGGGGTGTGAATCTTGAAACAGGTGGTACTGGAGAATTAGGCGCTGAAGGCCCATTAAAGGGAAACATTAGTTTTGTCTGTTTGCAAAGAAATAAGTTTCATAAAAAAAAAACACCCTTGGGCCAATTCAGGGTCTGGTCCGGAATCATATTTTTGTTGTATTTCCCTTAGACCAAAAAAAAAACTTTGCGGGCTTATGTGGTGAATTTCGGTCTAGGTCCAATAGATTGATACATTACGAGAGAATCACCAAAATCCTGTTTTCAAATTCCACTTAATCCGTATATACTTATTAAGAGCATGATTATCGGTGTTCTTTGAGAGTTCCTACACATTTATTAAAGAAATTGTGTCAGTAATAAATGGATATTTCACTTGTTTTCACGTTCCTGAACTAAAGCACGTCCTCATACTAAAGCACGCTTCTACACTCCAATTAATTGGGTCATGATAATAAATTAATAAATAAAATTGCAAGAATGTAGTTGATTTGTTTTAAATATGAGACCCATTTTAGATTTTTTGATGAGTTACATGGATATTTGAGAATTGTAGATGGGTTGTTTAAAAAATTGAGAAGTGTGAAATAATATAAAAAATTATGTGGGTCCCATTTAAAGAACCCAAATGGATATGATGGATGTGGATGCTCTAATCCAATTGAAAACAAGATTAAGAAATCAAAATGTTGTCGTTATAGAATGGAGAGGGTTACATCAGTGTTTCTTGAATTGTCACTAAATAAACTCTCTTCTTCTTCCTTGCGAAACGACACTGAATCCATTTCAATTTATAATTCAGCGTCGCGACGTTGTATATCCTGCCACCGTCATATTGCTCCATCTTCCTCCCTCTTCCATTTTTTTTCACACTCCCTCAATCTTCACCCAAACAAAAACTAAATGAAAAGATGGAAAACCCTAGGTATCCAAAAACTGAAACCAAATGGAGATCTTGAAGAATCGGAGCCTGAGACCTTGGGGTTATCACTCTACATGCTATAACACATGCTCTAGTGTGAAGCAAGGTCGGAAAGGACGAAAAATCATAGAGTTATAGTCTTACTGGCCGGAGGCTTCTTCAATCATGTCGAGTGTAGCAACAAATCTAGAGACTCAACGATTCAGGTAGCTCCATTTTCTTGCTTCCGCACTTTCAGTTTTTTATTATTATTTTTTTCTACTCCGATTGTCTGACGCGTATGCTTATGTTTTTTGTTGATTTCGCGTTTTTGTCGAAACACAGATTGTTGATGGTGATTCTTCAGCAATTGTGAATAATGAAGGTGAAGGTTGAAGTAGCGTGAATGATGCAGATTGAAGAATGAATGATGGAGATTTGTGAAGTGCAGAGAGCCAAGAGATGAGAGAATTTTTTGTTATTTCTGCAGAATGAAGAATGTGAAGAAGGAAGAATGAAAGAGGTAAGTTTTGTTTTATTTTGTTAGCAATTAGAATTTTGTTAGGAATCTGTTAGAGTTCGAATCCATCTGAGCCACTGATTTCTGGTTTCTGTTAGGGATAGATGGATCTTATGAGATATGAATGAGGAGGGGGTTATATAATGATAAGGAGAAGAGTGAAAATTAGTTAGAGGAGTTAGAATCAGTTAGGAGCTCCGAAAATCTGTTATGGTTGTTAGAAGGTGGTTAAGCTGAGCTGGCGGTTCTGTTTCTGAATATTTTCTAATTTAATAATTCCTTCTCTATTCCTGATGCAAAACTTTCTTCTCCTTTTTTGTTATCACGGTTTACTCTTTCTAATATTTCTGATCTTTTCCCTGTATTGTTGAACTGGAATTTTGATTTCATTCTGATCTTTCTGTTAGTTTTCCTATTTTTTTTGAATTGGTTTTATGTACATAATTTTGAGCTGTAGATTTTCATGTGTGGATTTTTGTAATGTAATATATGCTGATTTTCTACTTTTCTGGTTTACAAAATGTAGGGCTGGTTTTCGACGTAGTGAGCATAAAGATTGCAGAATTTCTTCCAGTTGTTTTCAATAATTGTGTAATTATTGTGAGAATGGTATATGAATGGTTGAAGCCTGTAGGTGTATACGTAAGTTGGGAGTTGCGTTCTTCCATCACGAAGTTGTGAAGCAGACTCTGGTACTTGCAATGGAGGTTCCTTCGTCAGAACCTCTAATGTTGAAGCTATTAAAAGAAGCAACTGAGGAAGGACTGATTAGTTCCAGCCAAGTTGTGAAAGGGTTTTCTAGATTGGCAGACGGTCTATATGATCTTAGAGCACCTGAGTATAAATTAGTATTTTTGAAGAGGCTAATAACATTTTCTCTGGACCGAAAGAAGATAGCATTTATCCTACCATCTCAATGCCTATAGAGATATTCTCAGCGGAGGATATACTTAATGGTTTTGTCATGCTTATGAAAAATGCATAAGATACAACACTGGATGCTTCTAATGAGCTTGCAATTTTCTTAGCTCGGGCTATGATTAACGATGTGCTTGTCCCATTGAATTTGGATGAAACTAGCAGCAGGCTACCACCAAAAAGCAGTGGTAGTGAAACTGTGTGTATAGCTCGAACACTTGTTTCTGCTTGCCCTGCAGGTGAAAGGCTATTGAGATGCTTGAACGCAAACTGACTTATGCTTACATTTATGCAGGTTTATGGCGTCGAACTGAAATGGCGAGACTATTTGGATTGTTGGTGATTAGCCTTCTGCAGATTATGGTTTTGTTAGCATGCTGCAATATGTTTATGTGCAGGGAAGCTTTTGGCTATATGGATTAACGTTGATAGTGCAAGCAATGCTCAAGGCTGCAACATAGTAGACGACCGATGCAAGATCGATTGATGTTTCCTGGCATTGTAGCAAAGGGAGGGATGGAAGACATGGTCGGATTGTGGGGCCTGAATCTATTTTATAGTTTAGGTTGCATCAACTTAGGTGTTCTTCCTCTTGTAATATTCCAAAATGTAATGATATTTGAATGAATACTTTCCTACCAATTTGTGTTTGAATTCCAAGTTTTGGAAAACATGAACATTTGTATGGTCTTGAACTTTGAATGGTGAAATTGAATGGAGTTTATGGATGTAATAATTCATGAGAATAACCTTTGGATTTCTTGATTTAATACAGTAGAACTTAGATGGATTTGAATGTTACTTATGTATTTTAAATTTTCCTTGACGTAACATTCTTATGATGAGAACTTAAAAATGATACTTGAATCAAGATGACTTTCAAATGATGAATATTGGATGATGAATGATCATTATGCCTATTACTTTTGTTTTTCTTTCAAAACTCGAACTCCAAACAATCCACACACTCACACCTCAAGAAAAGTTGATCCAATTTGACAAACTATAACCAAAGTAACCACTTAAGTGGATTTTGTATGGATCTTTCCTCCCCCTTAGCATTTAAATTCCGAGTTTTCCTTGATTTATCATATAAAATGAACTGTGATACAAGATGCATGAATTGAACTTGTGTTGAGTATTTGAATATAAATCCTGAATTAAATCATGAATAAACCCTGAATCACTTTGCATGAATCCTTCAATGAGGAGTCTACTTCTATCCAAATCCCCTTGTATTACAGATAACGAATGACAATGATAAGAAAGATAATCGCCTTGATTGAGAATAAGTCCACAACTACATATCTTATGCCATGAACCATGCTTCACAATTCAATCCTCAGCCCTTAATGATTGGTTATCTCAACTCAAAATTAATGTCATGAAGAACATCTTAAGGATGGACGATAAGGTTTGAAACACGAAAGAAATCGCTTGACATGAAACCTTAATCGCACAAATGAAAACCCCAACACTTGCTGAGATTGGATAAAAACAATTATACCCTGACGAGAAAGGAATCCTGATAACCACACCTCACGACCTTGATTCCTCAGTTCAAATGCACAGAGAAATATCCAGGTTAAGTATCTTTGAACCATGACTCAAACAAACCTGAATTAGTTAACTGAGGGATGGACGAATGCCATGCCACAGTCATTTACCATGACCAAATGATAAGCACACTCATATGAGAAGACGTCTTGATTCAAAGAGTATGTATGCTAGGTCACACCCCTGAATTCTTGACAAGAAAAACCCTGCAGCTTGATGTTTAGACGAAGAGAATAGCCTTATTGCTTGACAAAGAAGAAGTCTAAACCGAACATGAACCAAAATCCTAATTCCACAGTCTTGTACACCAAGAAGAACCAGAATAATCAATCTTATTCAACATATACACCTCCAATGAGCTGTAAACCCTAGCTTCATAACTATTGACCTTTTGAACCTCAGGTGCTCTATTTTTTATGAAAATGCATGCTCTACACATGACCCATTGGAACGATGCAGATGAATGCAAAGTTTAAGCCAAAATAAGAAATTAGGAGGGAAAATTTTAGGGTGCAACAACTGCCCCTATTTAATCTCCTTTAACCTGAAGATGAGATTGACGCTAGCCTTTCGAACATTCAAGGTGGAAGAAGATTAAATACTAAAAGAACCCAAAAATTTGCACTCTGAAGCCAGTCAGGTATTATTATATTTTATGGTTTTCTGGATTGCAGTAGTTATCAGAATAAATCTCTTGGATGTCAGGTCAAGGTTAGACATACACAAGAAAGAGATCAACCGAAGAAGGCTCTAACGAAGGAAACGCCAAAGGAGAACTTACCGGGGATACAAATACATATTGACTCTGAATAGAATACCGGTCGAAGGCGAACTTACAAAGAAAAGAGACCAAACGGGGGGGACTCCTAACAAATGATACCAGCCGGAGGTGGATTTAAAGGGGGGAGAATGTTGATTAAGGGTAAACTTACAAATAAAAGAGACCAGTCGAAGGGGATTCCTAACAAAAGGTACCAGTCGAAGGTGGATTTTAAGGGTGCCAGCTGAAGGTGAACTTCAAGATAAAAGGTACCAGGCGAAGGTGGATTTTAAGGGTTCCAACCTATGATACGGTGGGAGAACTTACTTGAAGGTTTTGCGTTTGATTGCAAATGTTGCGGTTAGCAAGAGTCGCCACCGACTTTTCTTTTATCCAAAAGGAAAGGTGAAAAAGCAGAGGAAAGACCTTTGAGATTATTTCTTGAGTTCGGGGGGTAGATTATGAAAAGGGAAGGTATTAACACCCTTTTCATCCATGGTTTTCCATGGGCTCTTAGTTACTTGCTAGATCACTTGCTTTTGTATGAAATTGTGCTTAGTGTGGTTTTTAGAAAGTATTTTGTAAAGAGGCAATTGTTTAGGAAATCTTTGTAATGATTCTCGTTCGTAAGAATGTATACAAAGATGTTGATCTTTTGAAAATGTTTCAAGTTTGTAAGATATTTTGAAAGTGTAGGTGTTTGTTTTGAAAATAGCAAGGATGTTTTGTTTGAAATTGAGCAAGTAATTAGGAGCATTCTACCTACTCAAAAGTCTTTCATGTTCATTTCCTTTTCCTTTGACATTGTTATCTTACCATTGATTTGGTAAGTAACCCTATCTTTGGATGTAAACGGGACGGGCGTGGGTCATCGTATAACCATGATTAGCAATGTTGCAAGGTATCTTAGCATTCTCTTTTAGGGACTAAGATCATTTGAAAGGCAACTTAGATAGCGTCATCGAGGGACTATGATCTTTGTATTTTACTTGTTTTTACCAAGATACCTCACATGCGTAATATGGCCAATTTGTAAAGGCAACCAAGTGGATTTACCCTAGGGGTGTTTGTGTGCAAGTGTATTGTTTTCATGCTTGATTTTGTCTTTGATTAGGGTTTTCTAAGCATTGGTTTTAGTCTTTCCATACAAACCCTAATTACTAGCATGTTATATATAAAGCGATAAATTACGGAATTTAAAATTACTACGTTATTACAATACTTGTGGGAGGGGGTGTACAAATTGTAAATGGGCGATTGCAAGAAAATAAACCTAATTAATCTATTACAACCATATTGAATTTGTACAAGAATTGAATAAATAAATGTACAAAAATAAATACATATGCAAGAATGTAAATGCAAAGAAAATGGATTTCTTTTTTGGTTTTCATGAGAAAAAGGAGTTTGTTTTAACCTAATTAATTAAAAGGAAATAATTAATTATAATAATAAAAATTAAACCTAATTTTACTAGGAAAAGAAATTAAATAAACACTAAATCTATTAATTGATTAAAAAGAAATTAAGTTTATAAGAAAAGTATTTTTTTGGTATTTTTGTCTTGAAAATAAATTATAGTATTATAAAATATTTTTGGTCTTTTTATATTTTAAAATAATATATTCAAATGGTGTAAAAGAAAATAACTAAAACCTATTTTTTAATTAAATTTACAAAGATAATTAGTAAAATAAATAAAGTATTGATTAAATAAAATATTTTTTTATGAGAAAAATAAATAAACTAAGTCAAAATATAAATCTGCTATTTTTATATTTTTTATGATTTTTTAGTATTAGAAAAATAATTAAGAAAATAAATAAAATTAAAATAAGAAAAGAAAATAAAAATTGGGCCAGGGGTGTGAACAGCTTGCAAGGGGGTTAGAGGTAAGAAAAAAAATCAAAAGCCCAAGGGAGGCCCAGGCGCTGCCAAAAAAGTCAAAATGTATGAAAAAATGTGAAAAAAATCAAAAGGGTACCACTGGGGTTCGAACCCAGGTCCCTCTGGTTACAGGCGCGCGCTTCTACCACTGGGGTGGAAATACATCCGTTTATATAAATCAACCAATATATACATAAGACAAACACACTCCTTAGACCAACTTCTTCTTCAACCTCACGCCCAGCCAGAACCTCTGTAACTTGTTCAAATCTCAACAAAAATGAAAACTGTAAACATGAAACTTGTAGCAAATTTCCTCACGGTTTCAGAAATGTAAAGCATTAAAACTATAGTTCAAAGATAAATATGAATTTTAATGGCCCTATTCTAAACCCTAAAAATCTCAGAAAATTCAATCTTAAAATTTTCTAAGCTCATGAAAAATTAATGGAAACTATGGACATGGTTAGCTTTAGGGCAATGATATCTACATGTTTCGCTCACAAATAAATCATTGATGATACCTGTATTAAAAGTTCCAAAGTTAGAAAACTTACCTAGCAAGAGGGTATCAGGTTTGAAGTTTGAGCATCTTTCAAGGAGTTCCAATGATTGGGTTAGCTTCCTCAAGTTCCCAGGAAGCTAATGGGATGCTTAGCTTGAGCTGAAAGTATCTGAGGAGTTCTGGAGAAGTCCAAGTCCAAAGCTCTATTTTTGAAAATGGAGGATGGTGTTAATGGTGTTACAGTTCTGTAACAGGGTGTGGGATGAGTTCTAAATGATGTTTAGAAGCTTTAGGAACAAAGAGGCTTGAAAACGCACAAGGGAGTTATGAGTTTCAAGTTTTTGGTCAGTTTATGTGAAAATGGAGGTATGACATGTGATTCTGAGCTCTTGGTGTTTTTAGGGGTCAAGCCTTTGTCTATTTTGTGGAAAATGGTTTGTATATCTATAAGAAAAAGGATTGGAGTGGTTTGGACAATCAGAAGTACAAGTTTTCAGCTAATTGCTAGGTTACTTGATTTTGAAGAAAAGTGGGAAACCAAGTTTCAATGTGAGGTACAAGCATGGGCTGAGTGATTTTAAGTGTCTAACAAGTTTCTTATGGGTTATGGGACTTGTATGATCAGAAGAGAACAAGTGCAAGGCTCAAGAACAAGTTTTGTGTAAAAAACCACTTTATCAAAATGGCAATGTACACTTTCTTCCCAAAATGGATATAAAGCATGGCCTTGCATTGAATGCTTGAAATGATACCTCTAACAGTTGTGCAAGCCATTAAT